GACTGAAGCTGGGGTTTGGGGGGCCGGGGGGTGTGGACTGAAGCTAGGGTTAGGATTGACCCGGGTGTGGACATGAAGCTAGGGTTAGGGGTTTTAGGTTAGGGTTGAGCCGGGGGTGGACGAAATTAGGGGGGTTGGGTTGACCCGGGGGGGGACAGAAGCTAGGGTTAGGGTTTTTGGTTAGGGGTTTAGCCGGGGGTGGACATGAAGCTAGGGTTACGATTGAGGTTAGGGTTGGGCCGGAAGTGGACAGAAGCTAGGGTTTTGGGTTTGGTTTAGGCTAGGGTTGAGCCGGGGGTTTGAATGATGCTAGGGTTGGGTTGTGGTTGAGGGGGGGTTTGGGTTTAGGGGATGTGGGCAAAATAGGGTTTGGTTTAGGTTAGGGGGGACCCGGGATGGGGAAAGAAACTAGGGTTAGGGTTATGGTTGAGCCGGTATGTGGACAAGATGTAGGGTTAGGGTTATGGTTTAGCTGGGATTGGACATGGAAGCTAGGGTTTGGGATTTGGGGAGAGTTGAGGGGGGGTGTGGACATGAACTAGGGTTTAGAATTTGTTTTGGTTTAGGGTTTAAAAATTGAGCCGGGATGTGGCATGAGCTAGATTTGGGTTGAGCCCGGGTTTTGCAGAATAGGTTTGGTAGCCATGTGGCTGAAAGGGTTTTGGATTGCCCGGGATGTGGAATGAAAATAGGGTTAGGGTTTGGGGGGTTAGGGGTTAGCCGGGATGTGGGCATGAAGTTTGGGTTAGGGTTGACCCGGGATGTGGACATGAAGCTAGGGTTAGGGGTTTAGGTTGGGTTGAGCCGGGATGTGGAAGAAGCTAGGGGTTTCGTTGAGGTTAGGGTTGAGCGGGGAAAGTGGCATGAAACTGGGTTTGGGGTTTGGGTTGAGGGTAGGGTTTTACGGGATTTACAATTTTCTAGGTTTGGGTTTTGGTTTAGGGGTTTGGGTTGAGCCCGGGGTGTGGGCAAGAAGGGGTTTTGGGTTTTTGGTTTAGGGTTTGGGGGACGGTAGGGGCAAAAAGCCGGGGTTTGGGTTATGGTTGAGCCGGGTAGGGACAAGTGTAGGGTTAGGGGTTTTGGTTGAGTGGGTGGGACATAAGCTTTTGGGTTAGGGATGGGTTTTGAGTTGAGCCGGATGTGGGCATGAAATAGGGTTTGAAATTTTGGTTTAGGGTTTTAAATGAGCCCGGGGTGTGGAAAGAAGCTGGGTTAGGGTTGGCCCCGGGTTGGGGTACTGAAGCAGGGTTAGGGTTTAGCCGGGATTGGGGAAAGAAGCTAGGGTTAGGGTTTTAGCCGGGATTGGGGCATGAAGATAGGGTTAGGGTTTAGCCGGGATGGGACATGAAGAGGGTTTGGGCCCGGGTGTGGACATGAAAAGGTTTAGCTGGGATGTTTGGGCATAAACTAGGGTTTTACCGGGGTGTGGGCAATAAGCTGGGGTTTGGGTTTTGGTGAGGGTAGGGTTGGCCCGGGGGTGGACTGAAGCTGGGTTGGGTTTTGGTTAGGGTTGGCCCCGGGTGTGGACATGAAGCTAGGGTTAGGGTTGTGGTTTTAGGGTTTGGGGTTTAGCCGGTAGTGGCATGAAGCTAGGGTTAGGGTTTTTGGGTTTAGGTTTGGGGTTGGCCCCGGTTTTGGACATGAAATAGGGTTGGGTTTGGTTACCGGTTGTGGACTGAATCAGGGTTAGGGTTGTGGGGTTTAGGTAGGGGTTGAGCCGAGATTTGGGGGCAGAACTAGGGTTAGGCTTGAGCTGGGGTGGGACAAAAGCGGGTTTGGGTTGAGCCGGGATGTGGAATGAAAACTAGGGTTAGGGTTGTGGTGAGGCTGGGTTTTTAGCCGGGATGTTGAATGATGCTTGGGGGTTGGGTTGTGGTTTGGGTTGAGCCGGGGTGTGGACAGAAGCTGGTTAGGGTTTAGCCGGTTTGGGGCATGAAATGGGGAGGGTTGTGGTTGAGGGTTAGGGTTGGCCAGGGTAGGGGGAATGAGGTAGGGGTTGGGTTTGGTTTTGGGCCCGGAGTGGACATGAAATAGGGTTAGGGTTTTTTGGGTTTAGGGTTTAGGGTTTACCAGGAGGGACTAGGCTAGGTTAGGGTTGTGGTTTAGGTTATGTGGCCGGGGGTGGGTATGAAGTTAGGGTTGTGGGGAGGCTAGGGGAGCGGGGGTGTGGGCATGAAGCTAGGGTTTAGGGGTTTTGGGGTTTAGGCAGGGTTGAGCCGGGATTGGACATGAAACAGGGTTAGGGGGGTGGTTTGGGGTTTGGGGGTTTACCGGACTGGTGACATGAAGTAGGGTTAGGGTTGTGGTTTAAAGCTGGGTTAGGGGATGTTGACGAGCTAGGGTTTGGGTTGTTTTTGGGGGGGGGAGCCGGGATGTGGATTTAAGCTAGGTTGAGGGGATTGGGTATTGGTTAAGGGGTGGTTTGGGTGGGGTTTTGGCGGAATTGGACATGGCTGGGGTTTGGGTTGATTTAGGGTTAGCCCTTTTGGGCATAATAGGGTTTTGGGTTTTGGCGGGGGTTTTTGGCAGGAAGTAGGGTTTTTTTTTGGGGTTTTGGGTTGAGGGGATTACGAAGTAGGGGGAAAAGGGGTTTGGTTAGGGTTGGACGGTTGGGGGGACGAGTAGGGTTTGAATTGTGGGTTTGGGTTAAAATTGGCCGGGGTGAGCGGGGGAGGGGTGGGAATGAAGCTAGGGGTTAGGGTTGAGCCGGGGGGACATGAAACTAGGTTAGGGTGAGCCGGGAGGGGACATGAAGTAGGGGGAGGTTTAGGGGGGGGGTGTGGACAGAAGATTAGGGTTAGGGGGGAGCCCGGAGTGGACAAAGCTAGGGGGTTTTTGGGGGGGTTTTTAAAGGGGTTAGCCGGGAGTACAAAAGCTAGGGTTGGGGGGTTGAAACCGGGTGTGGGGCATGAAACTAGGGGGTTTGGGTTTTAGCGGGATGTGGACTGAAGCTGGGTTAGGGTTTTAGCCGGGATGTGGGAATGAAGTAGGGTTTTAGCCGGGGGGGGTGGACATGAACTAGGGTTTTGCGGGATGTGGAATACTAGGGTTTTTGGGGATTTGGGGGGGGGGGAAAAAAACTGGGTTTGGGTTGTGGTTGAGGTTAGGGGTTTAGCCGGGGGTGTGGAAAAAGCTAGGGTTAGGGTTTGTGGTTGAGGGTTTAGGGTTGAGCCGGGGTGTGGATGAAACTAGGGTTAGGGGGTTTTGGGGGGTTGTGGTAGGGGTTAGGGATGTGGACATGAACTAGGGTTAGGGGATTGGACTAACTAGGGGGAGGGGTTTTGGTTGAGGTTTTGGGTTGAGCGGGGAATGGGAAGAAACTAGGGTTTTGGGGGTTTTGGGGGTTTGGGTTTGGGCCGGATGGTGGAACAGAAGGGGTAGGGTTTGGGGTTTGACCGGGTGGGGACTAAGCTAGGGTTAGGGGTTGTGGCTTTAGGGTTTTAGGGTTAGCCCGGATGTGGAAACGCTAGGGAGGGTTAGGGGTTTGGGTTTACCGGGATGTGGACAGAAGCTTTTGGGTTAAAGGGGAAAAATTGGGTGGGTTTTGGGGGAGGGTTAACCGGGGGGTTGGAAGAACGGGGGGATGGTGGGACCTTTGGGAAAAACTAGGGAAATTTTTTGGGTTGAGCCGGGGGTTTTGCATGAAGCTGGGTTAGGGGGTTGGGGGGGGCCGGGGTGTGGGACTAAGTGGGTCAGTGGGTGGGACATGAACTGGGGTTAGCCCGGGGTTGGACAAAAAGCTGGGTTAGGGGTTTTGGTTTTGGTTTTGGGTTAGCCGGGGTGTGGAAAAAGCTAGGGTTAGGGTTGAACCCGGGGTGTGGACATGAAAAAGGGTTTTGGGTTGAGCCGGGGTGTGGAAGGGGGTGGTAGGGTTAGGGTGAGCCGGGTGTGGACAGAAATAGGGTTAGGGGGTTTAAGGTAGGGTTAGCCCGGGGGGTGGACAAAAGCTGGGTTGGGTTGTGGTTGAGGTTAGGGGTTTAGCCGGGAGTGGACATGAAGCTAGGGGTTTGGGTTTGTGGGTTGAGGTTTTGGGGTTTAGCCGGGATGGGAATGAAGCTAGGGTTTGGGTTTTGGGTTTTGGTAGGGTTTTTAGGGGATGTGGAATGAAGCTGGGGTTAGCGGGGATGGGGACCATGAAGGGTAGGGGTTGGGGTTTTGGGGGAGGTAGGGTTTGGCCCCGGAAAGTGGACAGAAGCAAAAGGGTTAGGGTTTAGGTTAGGGTTGACCGGGTGTGGACATGAAGCTAGGGTTAGGGTTGAGCCCGGGGTTGGACATGAAGCTAGGTTAGGGGTTTTGGTTGAGGGGTTGGGTAGCCGGGGAGTGGACAAAAGCTAGGGTTAGGGGTTTGGTTAGGGTTTAGCCCGGTTTTGGGCGAAGCAGGGGGGAGTTGTGGTTGAGGGGGTTTGTTGAGCCCGGGAATTTGGGCATGAAGCTAGGGTTAGGGTTTTACCGGGGTTGAAGAAGCTAGGGTTTTGGGTTGAGCCGGGATGTGGAATGAAGCTTAGGGTTAGGGTTGAGCCGGGATGTGGACATGAAGCTAGGGTTCAGCCGGGATGTGGACAATAAGCTAGGGTTAGGGTTGTGGTTGAGGTTAGGGTTGAGCCGGTATGTGGACATGAAGCTAGGGTTAGGGTTGTGGTTGAGGTTAGGGTTGAGCCGGTATGTGGACATGAAGCTAGGGTTAGGGTTAGGCTTGAGCCGGGTTGTGGACATGAATCTAGGGTTAGGGTTGTGGTTGAGGCTAGGGTTGAGCCGAGATGTGGACATGAAGCTAGGGTTAGGCTTGAGCTGGGATGTGGACATAAAGCTAGGGTTAGGGTTGAGCCGGGATGTGGACATGAAGCTAGGGTTAGGGTTGTGGTTGAGGCTAGGGTTGAGCCGGGATGTTGACATGATGCTAGGGTTAGGGTTGTGGGTTAGGGTTGAGCCGGGATGTGGACATGAAGCTAGGGTTACGATTGAAGTTAGGGTTGAGCCGGAATGTTGACATGATGCTAGGGTTAGGGTTGTGGTTGAGGGTTAGGGTTGAGCCGGGATGTGGACAAGAAGCTAGGGTTAGGGTTATGGTTGAGGTTAGGGTTGAGCCGGTATGTGGACAAGAAGCTAGGGTTAGGGTTATGGTTGAGCCGGGATGTGGACATGAAGCTAGGGTTAGGGTTGAGCCGGAATGTGGACATGAAGCTAGGGATAGGGTTGAGCCGGAATGTGGACATGAAGCTAGGGTTAGGGTTGAGCCGGGATGTGGACATGAAGCTAGGGTTAGGGTTGAGCCGGGATGTGGACATGAAGCTAGGGTTCAGCTGGGATGTGGACATGAAGCTAGGGTTGAGCCGGGATGTGGACATGAAGCTAGGGTTAGGGTTGTGGTTGAGGGAGAGCATGAGAGAAACAATGACCTAAATGGAATTAAATGGAATAGAGCAGCATGAAATGGACAAAGCACATGGTAGCATACAGGACAAATATATATTTAAAAAAAAACATCAATAGACAAGTGTGCACAGAGCATAGAAAGGTAGTAAATATTATGAAAAATAGACAATTTGCACAATTCACGCCACCCATAATAGATAATAATTTGAAATCCAGGCTAGCAGGTTAGGAACTGGAAGTGTTCCATTGAAGTCTATGGAAAACAGTGTTTTCTTTTTTTAACTTTAAATGAGCAGATCCAATACCTCTGTGCGCGTAGCAGTAGCTCATCTTTCCTCTGCAGCAGTATCTTCTGTCTCTCCTCGGCTGACTTGGAGAAGCAGCTGCCTCTGACCTCAAAGTCCTCCATCTCAGGGGTCATGAACTCTGAACTCCCGCTGGCCCCGCCCACATCCTGTGGGGAGAGGCTGACCTGGGAGGCGGAGTGATCCACAGGCTGGAGAGGGAGACAGCAGACATTTTAGTCAAGTATGCTCTAAACTTAATGTTTAAGTTAAGTGTCCCAAGGCGGCTTTTCTCAAGACATTTTGGGTATCGCCTCATGGGATGAATTGACCCCGAACTCTATTTTAGCCCTTCCTTATGTTAATGTACCATCCAAGGAGACCACACAAGCAGACACACAACCAGCTTGTGGAGTTACCTGTAGCAGTGTGGGATTGACTGACCTGTGTGGGGAAAGGCACCACGATGCGTCCCTCTAGGATGTTGTCAGTGGTGACCTCTACAGAGCGGGTCAGCTGCAGGTCCTGCAGCACCAGATGGTAGGGAACCTGATTAAACATCTCCCCAATCTGATGGGCCTAAAGATAGTAAGAGAGGAGATGTATCATTACTTCAAACATCAATGTAGCCTCCTTTCTTTACCTCATTTTCTTCATTGTTACTGACATAGGACAGGTGAAAGGTAACAAAAATCTAATGAGTCACTAGCAAAAACACCCAAGTAATGGATGGATCCCATGAACACTGACCATGGCATTGAGCTGGGAGTTGTTGGCCTGTTGTACGTTGCCTAGGATGTTGGTTGTGTGCATCACTTCCACTGAGAAACTGGGCAGCCAGCTGGCAATGCGAGAACCTAGTAGGGGTGAAATACATGCAAGGTCAAGCTCATTAGATATTTATGGAGAGGTGTCCTCTCTAAACTGTTTACGGTGTAGAGTGTTGAGAGAAAAGCCTGAATAGTCGCCAACTGTGTCAGAGTAACCACTGACAGGATGTCTATCTGCATATTTTATGGGTGTTACTCTCATGTGCTCTTGGCCCTAGAGATACTGAGGCATGATCCAGAAAACAACAAAACTAGTAGCGACTACAGATGTAATTTACAGATGTAATTTAGTTTCATAGCCAACTCTGACACATTTACATTGATGAGTAAAGCATTTAACAGGGTTAACTACTGTCATCAAAAATATCCTGTCAATGGGGGTGAGGCCTGAAATAGTCCCATGGATTTGTGACTGACAGGAGACAACGGGTGCGCCATCATGGTGCCCTATATGAATGGGAATCCCTCACATGTGGGGCGACCCAGGGGACCCTCCTTGACCCGGTCCTTTTCCATTCCCTCATCAATGATGCTGCACATGAAGCTACCAACCCAGTGTGGAAATATGACATGAATCTGCTTGAAACCAGGAAACTGCAACAACCATCTTCAGTGCAGAAGCACCTGGACTGCTACTAATGCCATGCATCTCAATGACAAGAAATGCATAGTGATGTATGTCACCTTCTCTAAAAACCCACCCCCTGCACCACCCCTCTTCATCAATGGCGTCCCATGTCAGAGACATCAAAGGTCAGGGAGCAGGGTCTCACTGTCCAGCAGGACCTGCGTTGGAGCAGCCAGGTTGACACCATCACCAAAAGGGCCAGCAGGAAGCTTTTCCTCCTCAAGCGCATTAAGGGCTTCTCTGTAACCACAACAGACCTACTGTCCATCTAAATCGGCTACGTCAGACCAGTTCTGGAGTCTGCCGTCACTGCCCGGCACCCTGACTGCTCAGCTGCAGCGTGTCCAGAAGAGAGCCTGCAGAATAATTCTGTGCGGGTCGTACACCAGCTACCGTGAAGCCCTCGAAACCCTCTGAATCATGTCCTTGGAGAGCAGATCTGCCTGACATTTGCTAAATACCTGCAGAACTCCCAGTTTGCAAACTTGCTCCCCCCCCCAACCAGACTGCAGATTACTGGACGGGCAACCCACAACAGCCACAAACTGAACACCCCCATGACACGCACAGGCCACTATCAGAACTGTCCCATTTCATACTTCACTAAACTGATCAATGCACACACCATATAGCCCAGGGGCCTTAACAATGCCTACCTAATAACTCTAAAGATGTAATTTCTAAATGTATTTTCTAGATACAGTGCCTTGCAAAAGTATTAATCCCCCTTGGCGATATTCCTATTTTGTTGCATTACAACCTGTAATTTAAATGGATCTTTATTTGGATTTCATGTAATGGGCATTCACAAAATAGTTCAAATTGGTGAAGTGAAACGAAAAAAATAACTGGTTTCAAAAAATCGGAAAGAAAAAAATTACAGAAAATTCGTGCGTGCATATATATTCACCCCCTTTGCTATGAAGCCCCTAAATAAGATCTGGTGCAACCAATTACCTTCAGAAGTCACATAATTAGTTAAAGTCCACCAGTGTGCAATCTAAGTGTCACATGATCTGTCACATGATCTCAGTATATATACACACACACACCTGTTCTGAAAGGCCCCAGAGTCTGCAACACCACTAAGCAAGGGGCACCACCAAGCAAGCGGCACCATGAAGACCAAGGAGCTCTCCAAACAGGTCAGGGAGAAAGTTGTGGAGAAGTACAGATCAGGGTTGGGTTATAAAAAGATCAGAAACTTTGAACATCCCACGGAGCACCATTAAATCCATTATTAAAAAATTGAAAGAATATGGCACCACAACAAACCTGCCAAGAGAGGGCCGTCCACCAAAACTCACAGACCAGGCAAGGAGAAAATTAATCAGAGAGGCAACAAAAGAGACCAAAGATAACCCGGAAGGAGCTGCCCAGCTCCACAGCGGAGATTGGAGTATCTGTCCATTGGACAACTTTATGCCGTACACTCCACAGAGCTGTTCTTTACGGAAGAGTGGCCAGAAAAAAAATAAAAAAGCCAAAAGCCATGTGGGAGACCGCCCAAACATATGGAAGAAGGTACTCTGGTCAGATGAGACTAAAATTGAGCTTTTTGGCCATCAAGGAAAATGCTATGTCTGGCGCAAACCCAACACCTCTCATCACCCCGAGAACACCATCCCCAGAGTGAAGCATGGTGGTGGCAGCATCATGCTGTGGGAATGTTTTTCCATCGGCAGGGACTGGGAAACTGGTCAGAATTGAAGGAATGATGGATGGAGCTAAATACAGGGAAACCTGTTTCAGTCTTCCAGAGATTTGAGACTGGGACGGAGGTTCACCTTCCAGCAGGACAATGACCCTAAACATACTGCTAAAGCAACATTCCAGTGGTTTAAGGGGAAACATTTAAATGTCTCGCAATGGCCTAGTCAAAGCCCAGACCTCAATCCAATTGAGAATCTGTGGTATGACTTAAAGATTGCTGTACACCAGAGGAACCCATCCAACTTGAAGGAGCTGGAGCAGTTTTGCCTTGAAGAATGGGCAAAAATCCCAGTGGCTAGATGTGCCAAGCTTATAGAGACATACCCAAGAGACTTGCAGCTGTAATTTCTGCAAAAGGTGGCTCTACAAAGTATTGACTTTGGGGGGGTGAATAGTTATGCACGCTCAAGTTCTCTGTTTTTTTGTCTTATTTCTTGTTTGTTTCACAATAAAAAATATTTTGCATCTTCAAAGTGGTAGGCATGTTGTGTAAATCAAATTATAGAAACCCCCCCAAAAATCCATTTTAATTCCAGGTTGTAAGGCAACAAAATAGGAAAAATGCCAAGGGGGGTGAATACTTTCGCAAGCAACTGTATGTGGTAGTAGAGTAGTGGCCTGAGGGAACACACTTAATGTATTGTGTAAAGTGTTATGAAATGTATATATATACACACACACATAAATATACACACACAATTTAAAATATTACATATATATATATTTATTATATATACACACACACACACACACACACACACACACACACACACACACACACACACACACACACACACACACAGTTGTGGTCAAAAGTTTTGAGAATGACACAAATACTAATTTTAACAAAGTCTGCTGCCTCAGTTTTGATGATGGCAATTTGCATTTACTCCAGAATGTCATGAAGAGTGATCAGATGAATTGCAATTAATTGCAAAGTCCCTCTTTACAATGAAAATGAACTTAATCCCCAAAAAACATTTCCACTGCATTTCAGCCCTGCCACAAAAGGACCAGCTGCCATCATGTCAGTGATTCTCTTGTTAACACAGGTGAGTGTTGACGAGGACAAGGCTGGAGATCACTCTGTCATGCTGATTGATTTAGAATAACAGACTGGAAGCTTTAAAAGGAGGGTGGTGCTTGAAATCATTGTTCTTCCTCTGTTAACTATGGTTACCTGCAAGGAAACACGTGCCGTCATCATTGCTTTGCACAAAAAGGGCTTCACAGGCAAGCATATTGCTGCTAGTAAGATCGCACCTAAATCAACCATTTATCGGATAATCAAGAACTTCAAGGAGAGAGGTTCAATTGTTGTGAAGAAGGCGTCAGGACGCCCAAGAAAGTCCAGCAAGCGCCAGAACAGTCTCCTAAAGTTGATTCAGCTGCGGGATCGGGGCATCACCAGTGCAGAGCTTGCTCAGGAATGGCAGCAGGCAGGTGTGAGTGCATCTGCACGTACAGTGAGGCGAAGTATTTTGGAGGATGGCCTGGTGTCAAGAAGGGCAGCAAAGAAGAAACTTCTCTCCAGGAAAAACATCAGGGACAGACTGATATTCTGCAAAAGGTACAGGGATTGGACTGCTGAGGACTGGGGTAAGTCATTTTCTCTGATGAATCCCCTTTCCGATTGTTTGGGCCATCTGGAAAACACCTTGTCCAGAGAAGACAAGGTGAGCTCTACCATCAGTCCTGTGTCATGCCAACAGTAAAGCATCCTGAGACCATTAATGTGTGGGGTTGCTTCTCAGCCAAGGGAGTGGGCTCCCTCACAAAGAACACAGCCATGAATAAAGAATGGTACCAACACATCCTCCCCGAGTGCAACTTCTCCCAACCATCCAAGAACAGTTTGGTGACGACCAATGCCTTTTCCAGCATGATGGAGCACCTTGCCATAAGGCAAAAGTGATAACTAAGTGGCTCGGGGAACAAAACATCGACATTCTGGGTCCATGGCCAGGAAAATCCCCAGACCTTAATCCCATTGAGAACTTGTGGTCGATCCTCAAGAGGCGGGTGGACAAACAAAAACCCACAAATTCTGACAAACTCCAAGCATTGATTATGCAAGAATGGGCTGCCATCAGTCAGGATGTGGCCCAGAAGTTAATTGACAGCATGCCAGGGCGGATTGCAGAGGTCTTGAAAAAGAAGACTCAACACTTGACTCTTTGCATAAACTTAATGTAATTGTCAATAAAAGCCTTTGACACTTACGGAATGCTTGTAATTATACTTCAGTATACCATAGTAACATCTGACAAAAATATCTCAACACTGAAGCAGCGAACTTTGTAAAGACCAATACTTTTGACCACGACTGACTGACTGACTGTGTGTGTACAGTGGGGGAAAAAAGTATTTAGTCAGCCACCAATTGTGCAAGTTCTCCCACTTAAAAAGATGAGAGGACTGTAATTTTCATCATTGGTACACGTCAACTATGACAGACAAAATGAGAATTTTTTTCCCAGAAAATCACATTGTAGAATTTAATGAATTTATTTGCAAATTATGGTGGAAAAAAAGTATTTGGTCAATAACAAAAGTTGCTCAATACTTTGTTATATACCCTTTGTTGGCAATGACACAGGTCAAACGTTTTCTGTAAGTCTTCACACACTGTTGCTGGTATTTTAGCCCATTCCTCCATGCAGATCTCCTCTAGAGCAGTGATGTTTTGGGGCTGTCGCTGGGCAACACAGACTTTCAACTCCCTCCAAAGATTTTCTATGGGGTTGAGATCTGGAGACTGGCTAGGCCACTCCAGGACCTTGAAATGCTTCTTACGAAGCCACTCGGGCGGTGTGTTTGGGATCATTGTCATGCTGAAAGACCCAGCCACGTGTCATCTTCAATGCCCTTGCTGATGGAAGGAGGTTTTCACTCAAAATCTCACGATACATGGCCCCATTCATTCTTTCCTTTACACGGATCAGTCGTCCTGGTCCCTTTGCAGAAAAACAGCCCCAAAGCATGATGTTTCCACCCCCATGCTTCACAGTAGGTATGGTGTTCTTTGGATGCAACTCAGCATTCTTTGTCCTCCAAACACGACGAGTTGAGTTTTTACCAAAAAGTTCTATTTTGGTTTCATCTGACCATATGACATTCTCCAAATCCTCTTCTGGATCATCCAAATGCACTCTAGCAAACTTCAGACGGGCCTGGACATGTACTGGCTTAAGCAGGGGGACACGTCTGGCACTGCAGGATGAGTCCCTGGCGGCGTAGTGTGTTACTGATGGTAGGCTTTGTTACTTTGGTCCCAGCTCTCTGCAGGTCATTCACTAGGTCCCCCCGTGTGGTTCTGGGATTTTTGCTCACCGTTCTTGTGATCATTTTGACCCCACGGGGTGAGATCTTGCGTGGAGCCCCAGATCGAGGGAGATTATCAGTGGTCTTGTATGTCTTCCATTTCCTAATAATTGCTCCCACAGTTGATTTCTTCAAACCAAGCTGCTTACCTATTGCAGATTCAGTCTTCCCAGCCTGGTGCAGGTCTACAATTTTGTTTCTGGTGTCCTTTGACAGCTCTTTGGTCTTGGCCATAGTGGAGTTTGGAGTGTGACTGTTTGAGGTTGTGGACAGGTGTCTTTTATACTGATAACAAGTTCAAACAGGTGCCATTAATACAGGTAACGAGTGGAGGACAGAGGAGCCTCTTAAAGAAGAAGTTACAGGTCTGTGAGAGCCAGAAATCTTGCTTGTTTGTAGGTGACCAAATACTTATTTTCCACCATAATTTGCAAATAAATTCATACAATGTGATTTTCTGGATTTTTTCTTCTTCTCATTTTGTCTGTCATAGTTGACGTGTACCTATGATTACAGGCCTCTCTCATCTTTTGAAGTGGGAGAAATTGCACAATTGGTGGCTGACTAAATACTTTTTTCCCCACTGTATGTATGTATGTATGTATGTATGTATGTATGTATGTATGTATGTATGTATGTATGTATGTATGTATGTATATATATATATATATATAAACACACACATACAATACCATTCAAATGTTTGGGGTCACTTAGAAATTGTCCTTGGTTTTCTAAAGAAAGAAATTTTTTTGTCTATTAAAATAACATCAAATTGATTAGAAATATAGTGTAGACATTGTTAATGTTGTAAATGGCTATTGTAGCTGGAAACGGCTGATTTTTAATGGAATATATACATAGGCGTACAGAGGCCCATTATCAGCAACCATCAGTCCTGTGTTCCAATAGCATGTTGTGATTGCTAATCCAAGTTTATCATTTTAAAACCCGTTTTCAATTATGTTAGCACAGCTGAAAACTGTTGTGCTGATTAAAGAAGCAATAAAACTGGCCTTCTTGAGACTAGTTGAGTATCTAGAGTATCAGCAATTGTGGGTTCGATTACAGGCTCAAAATGGCCAGAAACAAATAACTTTCTTCTGAAACTCGTCAGTCTAGTCTTGTTCTGAGAAATGAAGGCTATTCCATGAGAGAAATTGCCATGGAGTTCACCAGAGCTTCACAGGTTGCCACTGGAGTCCTCTTCCACTCCTCCATGACGACATCACAGATCTGGTGGATGTTAGAGACCTTGCACTCCTCCACTTTCCGTTTGAGGATGCCCCACAGATGCTCAATAGGGTTTAGGTCTGGAGACATGCTTGGCCAGTCCATCACCTTTACCCTCAGCTTCTTTAGCAAGGCAGTGGTCATCTTGGAGGTGTGTTTGGGGTCGTTATCATGTTGGAATACTGCCCTGCGGCCCAGTCTCCGAAGGGAGGGGATCATGCTCTGCTTCAGTATGTCACAGTACATGTTGGCATTCATGGTTCCCTCAATGAACTGTAGCTCCCCAGTTCCGGCAGCACTCATGCAGCCCCAGACCATGACACTCCCACCACCATGCTTGACTGTAGGCAAGACACACTTGTCTTTGTCTTGGTCTCATCAGACCACAGGACATGGTCCTTAGTCTGCTTGTCTTCAGCAAACTGTTTGCGGGCTTTCTTGTGCATAATCTTTAGAAGAGGCTTCCTTCTGGGACGACAGCCATGCAGACCAATTTGATGCAGTGTGCGGCGTATGGTCTGAGCACTGACAGGCTGACCCCCCATCTCTTCAACCTCTGCAGCAATGCTGGCAGCACTCATACGTCTATTTTTCAAAAGACAACCTCTGGATATGACGCTGAGCACGTGCACTCAACTTCTTTGGTCGACCATGGCGAGGTCTGTTCTGAGTGGAACCTGTCCTGTTAAACCGCTGTATGGTCTTGGCCACCGTGCTGCAGCTCAGTTTCAGGGTCTTGGCAATCTTCTTATAGCCCAAGCCATCTTTATGTAGAGCAACAATTATTTTTTTCAGATCCTCAGAGAGTTCTTTGCCATGAGGTGCCATGTTGAACTTCCAGTGACCAGTATGAGGGAGTGTGAGAGCGATGACACCAAATGTAACACACCTGCTCCCCATTCACGCCTGAGACCTTGTAACACTAACGAGTCACATGACACCAGGGAGGGAAAATGGCTAATTGGGGCAAATTTGGACATTTTCACTTAGGGGTGTACTCACTTTTGTTGCCAGCGGTTTAGACATTAATGGCTGTGTGTTGTGTTATTTTACATTTACATCATTTAGCAGATGCTCTTATCCAGAGCGACTTACAAATAGGTGCATTCACCTTATAGCCAGTGGGATAACCACTTTACAATGGGTGTTAGTTGTTTTTTATTTTTTTTATTTTGAGGGGACAGCAAATGTACACTGTTATACAAGCTGTACACTCACTACTTTACATTGTAGCAAAGTGTCATTTCTTCAGTGTTGTCACATGAAAAGATATACTCAAATATTTACAAAAATGTGAGGGGTGTACTCACTTTTGTGAGATACTGTATACACACAGTTGAAGTCGGAAGTTTACATACACCTTAGCCAAATACATTTAAACTCAGTTTTTCACAATTCCTGACATTTTATCCTAGTAAAAAGTCCCTGTCTTAGGTCAGTTAGGATCACCACTTTATTTTAAGAATGTGAAATGTCCGAATAATAGTAGAGAGAATTATTTATTTCAGCTTTTATTTCTTTCATCACATTCCCAGTGGGTCAGAAGTTTACATACACTCAATTAGTATTTGGTAGCATTGCCTTTAAATTGTTTAACTTGGGTCAAACGTTTTGGGTAGCCTTCCACAAGCTTCCCACAATAAGTTGGGTGAATTTTGGCCCACTCCTCCTGACAGAGCTGGTGTAACTGAGTGAGGTTTGTAGGCCTCCTTGCTCGCACATGCTTTTTCAGTTCTGCCCAAAACATTTCTATAGGATTGAGGTCAGGGCTTTGTGATGGCCACTCCAATACCTTGACTTTGTTGTCCTTAAGCCATTTTGCTTGCAAGCATCCCCCTTTTTCTCCAAACATAACGATGGTCATTACAGCCAAACAGTTCTATTTTTGTTTCATCCTTGAAATACATCCACAGGTACACCTCCAATTGACTCAAAGTATGTCAATTAGCCTATCAGAAGCTTCTAAAGCTTCTAAATCATTTTCTGGAATTTTCCAAGCTGTTTAAAGCCACAGTCAACTTAGTGTATTTAAACCTCTGACCCACTGGAATTGTGATACAGTGAATTATAAGTGAAATAATCTATCTGTAAACAATTGTTGGAAAAATTACTTGTGTCATGCACAAAGTAGATGTCCTAACCGACTTGCCAAAACTATAGTTTGTTAACAAGACATTTGTGGAGTGGTTGAAAAACAAGTTAATGACTAACCATAGTGTATGTAAACTTCCGACTTCAACTGTGTTTGTGTCTAATATATATATATATATACATACACACACAGTGGGGAGAACAAGTATTTGATACACTGCCGATTTTGCAGGTTTTCCTCCTTACAAAGCATGTAGAGGTCTGTAATTTTATCATAGGTACACTTCAACTGTGAGAGACGGAATCTAAGACAAAAATCCAGAAAATCATATTGTATGATTTTTAAGTAATTAATTTGCATTTTATTGCATGACATAAGTATTTGATACATCAGAAAAGCATAACTTCATATTTGGTACAGAAACCTTTGTTTGCAATTACAGAGATCATACGTTTCCTGTAGGTCTTGACCAGGTTTGCACACACTGCAGCAGGGATTTTGGCCTACTCCTCCATACAGACCTTCTCCAGATCCTTCAGGTTTCGGGGCTGTCGCTGGGCAATACGGACTTTCAGCTCCCTCCAAAGATGTTCTATTGGGTTCAGGTCTGGAGACTGGCTAGGCCACTCCAGGACCTTGAGATGCTTCTTACGGAGCCACTCCTTAGTTGCCCTGGCTGTGTGTTTCGGGTCATTGTCATGCTGGAAGACCCAGCCACGACCCATCTTCAATGCTCTTACTGAGGGAAGGAGGTTGTTGGCCAAGATCTCGCGATACATGGCCCCATCCCACCTCCCCTCAATACGGTGCAGTCATCCTGTCCCCTTTGCATCCCCAAAGAATGATGTTTCCACCTCCATGCTTCACGGTTGGGATGGTGTTCTTGGGGTTGTACTCATCCTTCTTCTTCCTCCAAACACGGCGAGTGGAGTTCAGACCAAAAAGCTATATTTTTGTCTCATCAGACCACATGACCTTCTCCCATTCCTCCTCTGGATCATCCAGATGGTCATTGGCAAACTTCAGACGGGCCTGGACATGCGTTGGCTTGAGCAGGGGGACCTTGCGTGCGCTGCAGGATTTTAATCCATGACGGCGTACTGTGTTACTAATGGTTTTCTTTGAGACTGTGGTCCCAGCTCTCTTCAGGTCATTGACCAGGTCCTGCCGTGTAGTTCTGGGCTGATCCCTCACCTTCCTCATGATCATTGATGCCCCACGAGGTGAGATCTTGCATGGAGCCCCAGACCGAGGGTGATTGACCGTCATCTTGAACTTCTTCCATTTTCTAATAATTACGCCAACAGTTGTTGCCTTCTCACCAAGCTGCTTGCCTATTGTCCTGTAGCCCATCCCAGCCTTGTGCAGGTCTACAATTTTATCCCTGATGTCCTTACACAGCTCTCTGGTCTTGGCCATTGTGGAGAGGTTGGAGTCTGTTTGATTGAGTGTGTGGACAGGTGTCTTTTATACAGGTAACGAGTTCAAACAGGTGCAGGTAATACAGGTAATGAGTGGAGAACAGGAGGGCTTCTTAAAGAAAAACTAACAGGTCTGTGAGAGCCGGACTTCTTACTGGTTGGTAGGTGATCAAATACTTATGTCATGCAATAAAATGCAAATTAATTACTTTAAAATCATACAACGTGATTTTCTGGATTTTTGTTTTAAATTCCGTCCCTCACAGTTGAAGTGTACCCATGATAAAAATTACAGACCTCTACATGCTTTTTAAGTAGGAAAACCTGCAAAATCGGCAGTGTATCAAATACTTGTTCTCCCCACTGCATATATATATATATATATATATATATATATATATATATATATATATATATATATATCTCTCTGCCTTAATGTTGCTGGACCCCAGGAAGAGTATGGGGACCATAATACATACAAATACAAAGCTGCCACCCACACCTTGTCTTTATAGTATTGTTGTTTTGTATACACTGAGTATACAAAACAGTAAGAACACCTGCTCTTTCCATGACAGACTCACCAATGGCTGCACCATTGAGAGCATCCTGACTGGCTGCATCACCGCTTGGTATGGCAACTGCTCGGCATTCGACCGCAAGGCGCTACAGAGGGTAATGCGTACGGCCCAGTACAACACTGGGTCCGAGCTCTCTGCCATCCAGGACCTCTATACCAGGCAGTGTCAGAGGGAGGCCCTAAAAATTGTCAAAGACTCCAGCCACCCAAGTCATAGACAGTTCTCTCTGTTACCGCACAGCAACCGGTACCGGAGCGCCAAGTCTGGTACCAAAAAGCTCCTAAACAGCTTCTACCCCCAAGCCATAACCCAGCTTCACAGTTAATCAAATGGCCACCTGGACTATTTGCATTGACCCCCTTATTTTATTATTTGCACTGACTCTTGCACAGGCTTGATGTAAACTCACTGGACTCTAACCACACACACTCACACATACTACATTTACATTACATTTTAGTCATTTAGCAGACGCTCTTATCCAGAGCGACTTACAGCTAGTGAATACATATTTTTTTTATACTGGCCCCCCGTGGGAATCGAACCCACAACCCTGGCATTGCAAACGCCATGCTCTATCAACTGAGCTACATCCCTGCCGGCCATTCCCTCCCCTACCCTGGACGACGCTGGGCCAATTGTGCGCCGCCCATGAGTCTCCCGGTCGCGGCCGGCTGCGACAGAGCCTGGATTCGAACCAGGATCTCTAGTGGCACAGTTAGCACTGCGATGCAGTGCCTTAGACCACTGCGCCACTCAGGAGTACACCGACACTCCCAACACACACAAGCATATTGACGCCACACACACACACACATTCCTTCACAGATGCTACTACTCTCTGTCATTATCTATGCCTAGTCACTTTAACCTGACCTACATATTACCTGAACTACCTTGTAACCCCGCATATTGACTCAGTACCCCTTGTATATAGCCTAGTTATTGATATTTTATTGTGTGTTACTATTTTTCCTTTAGTTTATTTAGCACGTTTTTTAAACTCTGCATTGTTGGTTAAGGGCTTGTACGTAAGCATTTCATGGTAAGGTCTACACCTGTTGTATTCCGCGCATGTGACAAATAAAAATTGATGTCACATGTTAAATCCACTTCAAAATCAGAATAGATGAAGGGGAGGAGACCGGTTAAAGAAGGACTTTTAAGCCTTGAGACAATTGAGACATGGATTGTGTATGTGTGCCACTCAGAAGGTGCATGGTCAAGACAAAAGATTTAAGTGCCTTTGAACGGTGGTCCTCTGTAGCTCAGCTGGTAGAGCACGGCGCTTGTAACGCCAAGGTAGTGGGTTCGATCCCCGGGACCCCCCACACACAAAAAATGTATGCACGCATGATTGTAAGTCGCTTTGGATAAAAGCGTCTGCTAAATGGCATATTATTATTATTATTATAATAACGGGGTATGGAATAGATGCCAGGCGCAATGGTTTGTGTCAAGAACTGCAACGCTGCTGGGTTTTTCACGCTTAACAGTTTCCTGTGTGTATCAAGAATGGTCCACCATCCAAAGGACATCCAACCAACTTGACACAACTGTGGGAAGCATTGGAGTCAACATGGACCAGCATCCCTGTGGAACGCTTTCGACACCTTGTAGAGTCCACGCCCGACGAATTGAGGCTGTTCTGAGGGCAAAAGGGGGGAGTGCAACTCAATATTAGGAAGGCGCTCTTAATGTTTTGTACACTCGGTGTATGTATATTGCATATTTTAACATTGTATTGTATTAAAAGTGTTTTACTAGTTTAGGATTTAACTATTTGATGTTATGATTGTAAATTGGTGTACAATTCATTATTTGAATGCGACAAACAAATAATACCTACTACTAATTTACTTATTTTTAAAGTGCCAAAACGTGTATGCGTACGCAAAGCAGTGATCTAGAATATTGGACTGTTGGCTTTCATACTTTCCGAATTCTCAGCACGGCTCGAGCAATTTCTCCAACTGTCAACACATTCAAATAAATATAGAGGACACATACCAGAAATGAGTTGGTTGAAAATGTTGTGCGTCCCCCGCGGACGGCAGTCTCAGAACCGCGTAGCTATGTCACAATGAGATGTGGGACTATGATTTACACTTAAACCTAAATGTTGATTAATGTGTCCGGTCCCTGTGAAATAAATTGAGTGCTATTAGAAAAGTGAGTATACTGGGTGAATGTTGGGGCCTCACCGTCAAAGTGGAAGAAGTGGTTGTGCTGGTTGAGGTGTGGCCTTGCCTCGGGTCCAGGGCCTTCAGGGCCCATGTTGTCCTCCAGCATGGCCTCTCTCTGCCTCTCCTCTCTCTCCCATCCGGCCCCCTCGCTGATGTTCAGAGACATACGGCACGTGGGACACGATGTGTCCTGCTCCAACCAGGAACGCAGGCAGGAGCTGTGCACACAAAAACACACTTAATACTGACCATAATAATGCTTTGATTTTATGTAGCACTAGGCACACAATGTTAAATCATGATAATGGACTGGAGTTATACTGTATAGCAGAATAGATAGTTGTTGTGGTAGCTGAAATGTGCACTGCATGGGGGTTAAGAGTTTTTGCATATCTGCTCACTGGTGGAAGAGATGTCCACAGGGCAGCTTGCGTGCTGTCATCATGGAGTCCCAGCAGATAGCACAGTCATCATTGTTGGCTATCAGCTCATCAGAGGTGGCCACAGCAAACCTGCAATCAACCAATATATCTAGAAGAACAATACTTTGTCCATTTTCTTTTCAGATCATGGAAATTCATATTTTGCCTATAAATATGCCTCAGAGCATAGATGGATACAGCTATAACACAATGTCATGTAAATAAATACACAGGTACTGTACAGTATGTAGAAAGATCAAGCTAGTTAACTGAGCAACAAACCTGGCCTCCATGTTGTTGATGACACGTAGGTAGTTCTTGTGGCGACGGATTCTCTTCTGCACCTCGTGGAACAGGTAACGCAGCTGCATGAAGATCACCAGACTGGCCATAGAGAGCCAGATGTTACCAAACAGCTGAGAAGAGAGGGAAAGAAAGAGAGGGGGTATAAAGAAGAGAAAGGAGCAAGAGAGTTGGTAGAAAGAAGACATTGTGGTTACAACATGAAGGGACCCTTGGATAAATAGACCTTAGTAACAACTCTAGTAATAACTCAAATTAGGGACATGCCACTCTTGTGCAGTTGTTTTTTGTGAAAGTGAGTGGATGTCTGAAGATGGGGGGTTGAACTCACCAGCATGTGGATGTGGTGCATGAGGTCCAGACCTAGCAGAGCCAGCTCCATCACAAAGTCAGTGTAGTAGACGTAGGATCCTTTACTCTCCCAGGTGCCCTCATGGTTCAGGTCCCACAGGTGGATGGAGTACCTGGAGGGAGCAGGAACATGTTCAGTGTGTGTGGCCTTGTCAGATTGTTACAGGCTTTGGTTTTTCCATTTATTTTTCGAGGTTGGACGTTAACACGTGGGGCGTACAGACTGGTGTCACCTCGTTAGTCAGTATGTGTTACACCTGTGCTGGTTTGTCATCTCATTAGTGGGATGGTGTTTCACCTGTGCTGGCCCAGGTGATATTTAAGAGTGGCTGGCCCAGTGCTCCAGTTGTCTGGAGAGACAACACCTTTAGTTGAGGCTCCCTATTTGATTTCCAGACAAACAATCCTTTATCTGATCTTCCCTATTTTCATTTTGGTTTGCTTCCTGTCTAAGTTTAGTGTGGGTTTTTCTTTTGTTTCCCCCTTAGTGGGTGTCTTTTAGGTTTGAGTTGTTGTTGCTATGCAACTTTCAGTGGACACCCCCATTAGTCTTTTAGAACCTCTCCTAAAACCCCACCGGTTTCGTTTTGGTTGATGTCAATGACTCTGTTAGTTCCCCCTTCTGTTTGAGCGCCATTTTGGGTTTTCTTGCTGGGGAACGTAACAAGATGTACCACCAGTTGGTAATGAGTTCATACAAGATATACAATATTTTGGCAATTGCCTGCACAATCACTTACCGGATAATGACATGTCCAGTTCTAACGGACACCAGCATACACTGAAGGGAAACATAAGAAAACAATGGTCTGGTTAGATAATAGGGAGCATCATCAGATAGGCCATGATGTATACATTAAACATAGACATAAGCACTACACAGCAAATGTTTATCCATATAGAAACAAAGGCAAGAGGATCCAACAAATACTTTTTAATGTCGCCTCCATCTCAAAATGCATTGGAGAAAAATTCCTCTCCTAAGGAGAGAAGACATGATGAATCAAGGAAATAATAATAATATGCCATTCAGCAGACGCTTTTATCCAAAGCGACTTACAGTCATGCGTGCATAAATTGTTGTGTATGGGTGGTCCCAGGGATCGAACCCACTACCCTGGCGTTACAAGCGCCGTGCTCTACCAGCTGAGCTACAGAGGACCAGTAAAGACAGTTGAGCTCCACTTGGGGAGCGGGCTCCAGGCATCCTACCTCAGCGGCCATGAAGGCGACGGTGTGCATGCCGTGGGGGTTTCCCAGCAGACCACAGAGCAGAGCCAGGCCACAGCAGGTCAGCAGCATACCCACCAGCAGGGCCAGAACCCTCACACGACTGCCCATAGGAGTGGTGGGTGAGAACGACAGCTGTAACAACACACAAGATATGACTCAATTATAAAGTACGATACTGCCGTGGAGGATAACAGAATGTCATAACAGCAAAAACCCTATTCATGAACCGGGGAAATTATAGTTGTTTTTACAGAACAAAGACGCTATTGGTTAGCCTTACAGATATTGGCTGAATACAAATGATAAAACAATATTGGGACTTCTTTTTGTTTGTCAGAAGAGGATAACTCCTATTTAGGACTATTGGAAACGTACATATTCAAAGCGGTCCTTGCAGAGCTGGACCATGAGGTGCAGGAAGACGAGGACAGCGAACCACAGACACCACATCACCACCTCCTCCACCGTCTGAACGTTCAGCACCCCGAAGATGAAGATGAACTTGTAGAAGATGAAGTTCCAGAACTTGTCCTTCAGGTGCTGTATAGGCAGAGAAAGCAGGATTGTTGACACATTTCACATTTGTATCTAAAAGCATAATTGAGAAATGATTGATCAAAGTTGGCATATACACAGAAATGGCACCGAAGAAGATGGCAGCCGCTTTACAGCCCTCTTACCCCCTGTATATAACCTCCCTACTGTTATTTTATTTTACTGCTGCTCTTTAATTATTTGCTATTTTTTTCTTAAACTGCATTGTTGGTTAAGGGCTTGTAAGTAAGCATTTCACTGTAATGTCTACACCTGTTGTATTCGGCGCATGTGGCAAATACAATTTTATTTTATATTCATGACATTTTGGCCTTACCCAGGCCTCTCGTCTGGGTTTCGTGAGGAATCACTCATTGCCTAGGATTTAATACAGCTGCATAATAAAATGTTTATGATAGTGGCCTCTATCTACTCATGCATGTCTCAATGACTACTAATTAAATTACATTCCCACTATACCCCAGTTACATGGGACCTGGCAGTTTGCAGTATGGGTTTCCAGGAAAAACATTAGGCTACCTGGTTAATTACATTACCTAGACAAACACAAAACACATTCCTACTTACCTGTTTTTCACTGACACGGAGTGGCCCAAAGACAATGCACTGGATCACCTTTGCAATCAGCATCAGGACACAGCAGGCTGTATTCACCATCACCTGATCAACATGACATTTTGAATTGAAAGTTAAATCAGCCATCAAATGAAACAGCAAATTGACAATTTCCTAAATCCATTATTTCAACATCAAGGTAAAAGTTTGTCCCTGGTTACGAAAGTCTCAATTGCGATGGTTTTTTGTTCTTTTTCAGCACAGTATCTAGTAGACTAATCTCCACGGTGAAGGAAGTTTCTGATTAACTTCACCAACAGCGTGGAGCCGAGACCAGGATTTGTGGAATCTAGCTCGGACTATATCGATTCACCCAAGGTCAATACTTCAAAAAATATAAATTATGAAACACCCACGTTTGTCCTCTGTAGATGCGTGCCTTTGTTTGCTGAAATCCATACTTTTCAATAAACGATAATTAAATACTGACTTTCCTTGTTGAGATTCAATGGGCACATGCGCATTTACACTGAGTTGCCATCTTAGAGCAACAGCAATAAACAGTCGGTGGTTGTATTTGAATAACGTTTATTGAAAAATGTTGGACTACAGCAAACAAAGGCACACAACTACAGAAGACAAACATAGGTACAAGTTGGCCGTTTCATAATTTAATTTTTTTTGAAGTATTAACTTTAGGCAAATCGATGTCGGAGCTAACGTTAGATTACGCAAAGCCTGCTCTCGGCTCCACGCCGTTGGAAGTTCATCATAAACTTCCTTTACCACGGAGTGGAGTTTAGTCCGCTACACAATATTCTGATAATTCAGTACAATTCAAAGCATGACGATCAACAAACCACAGTAGCTGAGTTCATGAACTTACCCAAACAAAAACGGTGTCTGAGACCAGGTACAACCGGACAGTGGCTGCCACATCGCTAAGGCTGGTGATTGGGTCATCATCAACATCATCACTTTCTACGGGAGTCCTGCTCTGTGTCTGTGTGTACTCTACTAGCTCTGGGACAGTGTAGTAGCCATTTAAGATTGCCCCCGCGAGAAATACAGCACTCAGAGCTGTGTATGTCTGCAAACTGGGCCATGGAAATCTCTCCAAAAACAGCAAAGGCATGTTGACTGGCGCAAGGTTTGCCACTTTGGATAATTCAGATAAGGGATTGAGTGAACCCCTACTATTTCGAGAGCTTTTTGTCAACCAGCGATTTAAAGCTGCAATGTCACTTTTTGGGCGAATTCACCAAAATCACAAATGTTAGTAATAGATATGTAATTCTCATTGAAAGCAAGTCTAAGAAGCGGTAGATCTGTTCTATGTGCGCTATATCTATGCTTCCCGTTTTTAAGTTTGCACTTTTACTTTACACCAGCTTCAAACAGCTGAAAAAACAATATTTTTGGTTATTGAAAATATATTTCGCGGCGGTTTATATGGTACAATGATTCTCTATTTGTTTTGTCACAAACTGAAATTAGGCGAACTATTAGAATTTTAGCAAACAGGCAGGAAATGGCGGAGCGATTTATACATAGTGCACCTTTAACTTCGCTAACGTTACTTAGAAAACGTTAATTTCATATTCTCGTTTGTAGCTAATAACGTGGTAACGTTTGATATGTATCCTCCTTGGATGGCTAGCTAGGTAGGTATATGGACGACAGGTAAATCAACAGCTTAGCTAGCTAGTAACCATGATTAAAAACGCTGATATGACAATTCGTCCACGCTGATAACTATGCACGATGTCACCAAATACCAACTGTTTATCGTATATCGTCGTCTCTCTGGGGGAAAAAACCGTCAAAGGCTTAACTGTGTCGACCCTCCTATTGCCTGTTTCTGTAGCAATATCTCAGAGTTTCCATCTTCTTGCGTCTCTTTCTGTGTACTTCCGGTTTTGGACCGTCTGGATTGGCTGGACCAGAGAGCGCTCTAGTTACATGGACTGCGTTTAGACAGGCAGCCCAATTCTCATCTTTTTCCCCACTAATTGGTCTTTTGAAAAGATCTACTGTGAAAAGATCTGATGTGATTTGGTCAAAATACCAATTAGTGGAAAAATATCAGAATTGGTCTGCCTGTGTGAACGCAGCCATTTTGTCTCAGCCAGGGACCTCATTCAGGGTCAGGCATCATACCTACAGTGCCTTCAGAAAGTATTCATACCCCTTGACTTATTCCACATTTTGTTATGTTACGCCTGAATTCAACATTGATTAAATATATGTTCTTCTCACCCATCTACACACAATACCCCCATAATGATAAAGTGAAAACATGTTTTTAGATATTTTAACAAATGTATTGAAAATGAAATACAGAAATGTCTAATTTACATAAGTATTCACACCCCTGAGTCAATACATGTTAGAATCACCTTTGGCAGCGATTACAGCTGTGAGTCTTTCTGGGTACGTCGCTTAGCTCCATTCCGTTTATTTTGATCCTAAAAAACTCCCTAGTCCTTGCCGATGACAAGCATACCCATAACATGATGCTGCCACAACCATGCTTGAAAATATGAAGAGTGTGTTGTGTTGGATTTGCATCAAACATAACACTTTGTATTACATCAAATTTCAATAAATGTATTTATAAAATATTTTTACATCAGCAGATGTCACAAAGTGCTTATACAGAAACCCAGCCTAAAATCCAAAACAGCAAGCAATGCAGATCTAGAAGCACGGTGGCTAGGAAAAACTCTCTAGAAAGGCAGGAACCTAGGAAGAAACCTAGAGAGGAACCAGGCTCTGAGGGGTGGCCATTCCTCTTCTGGCTGTGCTGGGTGGAGATTATAAGAGTACATGGCCATTAAGGCCAGATCGTTCTTCAAGATGTTCAAAAGTTCATAGATGACCAGCAGGGTCAAATAATAATCACAGTGGTTGTAGAGGGTGCAACAGGTCAGCACCTCAGGAGTAAATGTCAGTTGGCTTTTCATAGCCGAGCATTCAGAGGTCGAAACAGCAGGTGCGGTAGAGAGAGGGCGGGAGAGTAAGAGACAGAGAGGGAGAGAGAGGGTCGAAAACAGCAGGTCCAGGATAAGGTAGCACATCTGGTGAATAGGTCAGGGTTCCATAGCCACAGGCAAAACAGCAGAAACTGGATCAGCAGGTGGACTGGGGACAGAGACAGCCAGGAGTCATCAGGCCAGGTAGTCCTGAGGCATGGTCCTAAGGCTCAGCTCCTCTGGGAGGGGAGAGCGAGCGAGAGAGATATGGGAGAATTAGAGGGAGCCTACTTAAATTCACACAGGACACCAGATAAGACAGGAGAATTACACCAGATAGGACAGACTGACCCCGGCACATAAACTATTGCAGCATAGATACTGGAGACTGAGAATGGGGGTGTCGGGGGACACTGTGGCCCTGTCCAACGATACCCCCGAACAGGGCCAACCAGGCAGGATATAACCCCACCCACTTTGCCAAAGCACAGTCCCCACACCAGTAGAGGGATATCAAGAGACCACCAACTTACTACCCTGAGACAAGGCAGAGTACAGCCCACAAAGATGTCCTTCACCGCACAAGCCCGAGGGGGGGGGGGTAAAACCGGACAGGAAGATCACTTCAGTGACTCAACCCACTCAAGTCGAGTATAGAGGGGGGGGAAAAGCCTGGCACGTCCTAGGGACAGCATGGGAGAGCACTAGTAAGCCAGTGACTCAGCCCCCGTAATAGGGTCAGAGGCAGAGAATCCCAGTGGAGAGAGGGGACCCGGCCAGGCAGAGACAGCAAGGGCGGTTCGTCACTCCATTGGCTTGCCGTCCACCTTCGCACCCCTGGGCCAGACTACACTCAATCATAGGACCTTCTGAAGAGATGAGTCCTCAGTAAAGACTTAAAGGTCGAGACCGAGTCTGCGTCTCTCACATGGATAGGCAGACCATTCCATAAAAATTGAGCTCTATAGGAGAAAGCCCTGCCTCCAGCTGTTTGCATAGATATTCTAAGGACAATAAGGAGGCCTGCGTCTTGCGACCGTAGCGTACGTGTAGTAGGTATGTACGGCAGGACCAAATCGGATAGATAGGTAGGAGCAAGTCCATGTAATGCTTTGTAGGTTAGCAGTAAAACCTTGAAATCAGCCCTAGCCTTAACAGGAAGCCAGGCTAGCACTGGAGTAATATGATCAAATTTTTTGGTTCTAGTCAAGATTCTAGCAGCTGTATTTAACACTAACTGAAGTTTATTTAGTGCTTTATCCGGGACATAAATTTAATTTGTTTGCCACATTTTTTGCAGTTTTATTATAGTCCCTTATTGCAAATAGGATGCATGTTTTGGAATATATATATTTTTAACCTTTATTTAACTAGGCAAGTCAGTTAAGAACAAATTCTTATTTACAATGACGGCCTACACTGGCCAAACCCGGACGACGCTGGGCCAATTGTGCGCCGCACTATGGGACTCCCAATCATGGCCGGTTGTGATACAGCCTGGAATCGAACCAGGGTGTCTGTAGTGACGCCTCAAGCACTGAGATGCAGTGCCTTAGACTGCTGCGCCACTGTATTCTGTACAGGCTTCCTTCTTTTCACTCTGTCATTTAGGTTAGTATTGTGGAGTAACTATAATGTTGTTGATCCATCCTCAGTTTTCTCCTATCACAGCCACTAAACTCTGTAACTGTTTTAAAGTCACCATTGGCCTCATGGTGAAATCCCTGAGCATTCCTTCCTCTCCGGAAACTGAGTTAAGAAGGACGCCTGTATCTTTGTAGTGACTGGGTGTATTGATACACCATCCAAAGTGTAATTAATAACTTCACCATGCTCAAAGGAATATTCAATGTCTGTTTTATTCTTTTCTACTCATCTACCAATAGGTGCCCTTCTTTGCGAGGCATTCGAAAACCTCCCTGGTCTTTCTGGTTGAATCTATGTTTGAAATTCACTGCTCGACTGTGGGACCTTACATATAATTGTATGTGTGGGGTACAGAGATGAGGTAGTCATTCAAAAATAATGTTAAACACTATTATTGCACACAGAGTCCATGCAACTTATTATGTGACTTGTTAAGCTTGCCATAACAAAGGGGTTGAATACTTATTGACTCAAGACATTTCAGCTTTTCATTTGTAATTAATTTGAAAAATATTCTTTAAACATAATTCCACTTTGACATTATGGGGTATTGTGTGTAGGCCAGTGACACAAAATCTCAATTTAATCAATTTAAAATTCAGGGTGTATCAACAAAATGTGGAAAAAGTAAAGGGGTGTGAATACTTTCTGAAGACACTGTACATGTTGTCCCATTCCTGTGGTCACAACATCATGCATGTGTTGACTGAGTGTGAAAAAAAGGAGAAAGTAAGTGTAACCACCTACACCCACGACCCACCTGTTGTAGTCCTATATGATTTTGAAACCACTCATAGATACAGCCAACAGGATTTTTTATTGCTTTTCTTTTAATTGAACAAAACCACCTGATGAAGAAACTTTGACTTTGAAATAGTTGCTTCACACCTAGCATATTGCCAAAGAGTGTCATATAATTATTTCTAATATTGTACATTCTTTGGAAAGAAAAATCTTAAAATAGAAAATTGGCATAAAATACCAGGCAGGCAATATAAGGTTATGAAAATGTCTAATTATTCTAAAGAATCGTACAACTGCAAGAGCTACAGTATTACAAAAATAGATTCAAATCTAATGTATTTTGCCAATAAATATTACATTAATACAGCATTTAGTATTTGGTCTTCTTCAGCCTCTTCATTGACATCAAGGTTCTTTCAACAGCAAATGCGTAATTTCTATGCATTTACAGACATTAGTTGACATATTTTAGCTGTGCCTCCATCTCTCCAGTATGAAAAATGTATGCACTCACTAACTAAGTCGCTCTGGATGAGAGCGTCTGCCAAATGACTAAAATGTAAATCTCTGACCTTTTTCAAAAGGCGACAAAGGAAAATCTTTGGTATGAGAGGCATAGACATCTTTTTTCCTAAAATATATTTTAGTTTGACTTGAAAATCCTGAGCTGTTAGATAGGCAAACAAACAGGCATAACTTCTTTACAACCTATCCACCTCCATAGATGTATGAATGACCAGTGACTGTGTTATCTGTACCAGTTAAAGACATGCTTGGGAACTTTGGTGACTACTAAGTATTTTTTAAACCTCCCACTTTGGGCTGGATGTGTCAATGTGTAGTTCATGCATGCATAATCTATGAGCAGAATTACTGTCTTATCTCAATTAGCCACGAATCCCTAGTTTGAAAGCGACTGTTTTCGGGAAGCGGTACTTTACCATTTCCCCTACATTTTCCCCCACATGGGCCAGCCCCCTAGCTATTCAAGTTCTAACCAATGAGCTTCAGCCCCTCGCCGTTTGAGTGACAGCTGGCAAGATGCACACGCAGCAGAGCGAGAGAGCGCAATGACTTGGTGCACATACAGTACGTGACATAATACGCAATTTTCAGGGCCAACTTTTGGCTTGTGAGCGCAACTTTCAGAACTACTGGCTAAAAAGTATACAAAAGTACTGGAGAATCTCTTTAAGCCACCACAGTTTTGTCATCAAAATTGTGATCAGTTAATAATAGAACTGCCAAATGCATAGATAGCGCCAGTCAACTCATGTCCTGAGTAATGATGATTAGAAAACGAATGAAGGCCAAAGAATGGAAGAACATTATCACTGGAGTATCACAGTATCCCATCCATAAGGATCCTGTCCTGGTTGGCTGGACTCTGCTGCACCATCACCACTGAGCTGAGATATGTCTCTGTCGATGATCTCATTCACTGCAAAAGAGAGACACACAGGGGTTTAGTTTCAAGTCTCGTCGTTGGTTTCTTTATAGTTGATTCAGCCATCTGAGGGCAGCATTGCCCATCTTTTAAATCTAAACCAAATCCCAAACGTAAAAGTAAGTAAATGACACATCAAGCAATACAACACTGACACGGGGGGCCAGTATAAAAAATAAATAAAAAATGTATGCACTAACTGTAAGTCGCTCTGGATAAGAGCGTCTGCTAAAAATGACGTAAATGTAAAATGTAAAAACATACAGTGCATTGTTGGTACAGATGTAGGAACTTAATTTGAGCCAGTTTGCTAAAGCTGGAAAAGAATCCTGCAGCAACAGGAAATGTGAATGATTATGTCAATTATAATTAATGGATATTCTTTGTAGGGGTTGATAAACTTTACGTTAGGGCAAATCAGGTCTGACATTTTAAAGTGGAAATTACAAACTTTAGAAGCATTTGCATTTTCTGCAGTGCAGGAAAATCCTCATCAACAAAATACTGATCAAATTAAGATCCTACATCTGTACATTGTGTTATTTTAGTGACACTCTCCATCTAGAGATGTCACACATTATGAAAAACAACCAAGCATTGAGGCCTGGTCTAAAGGTTAGAATTGGCTGTATGGTGAGAACATATTCTGGAGCTTTATCAAAGGGTGTGATCCATGTGGAAGGCTGAGGCTCCAGTCTGTATTTGTGATGTCTATTTATATTCCCCACAGTGCAACAAAAACACATGGATTGAATGGCCACATATACACTGTCTATTCATAGCCTGCCCATGAAAATGTGGTGTGTTTGAAACCCAAGCTGTGTATGAGGGTAGATGATAGACAACAACAAAACACTTGTTTTATTGCCACATACCCCGAATAGGTGCAGTGAAAAGTGTTGTTTTACAGGGTCAGCCATAGTAGTGCGGCACCCCTGAAGCAAATTGGGGTTAAGTGCCTTGATCAAGGGCACACCGACAGATGTTTCACCTTGTCGGCTCGGGTATTCAACCCTTTAGGCCTTTCGGTTACTGGCCTAACGCTCTAACCGCTTACCTGCAGCCCAAACAAACATATGTAAACAAACACACAGCACCAGGCTAGCACCGTGGGGCCGAAATATCCAGTCCCTGGCTGTCCCAACCAACAGACTGACGGGAACTCAGACAGCTTGACTGCACCAGCTCCCTTCCTCCAATACCAGTTACAAGACACTGTAAGGGCCTTAAACTAGTTTCTGCTTTAAGCAAAACAAAATCACTAAAACTAAAAGATCCCAGCACATTTTACATTTACATTTTAGTCATTTAGCAGACGCTCTTATCCAGAGCGACTTACAGTTAGTGAGTGCATACATTTTTCACTGTAGATCAATGACATCACTGTCATTTGAAATTAAAATAGATTCAATCCTTTGAATTAAATCATTATCTAATATCACCTAATGTGGCATAAGCTTGCTGTATCTTAATTTAAGTATCAGAAACCCTCTAGGGTGAAAGTCAAGTTCAAAGAGGACCCTTCCACCAACTCAGACCAGTGGTCTTATTTCCAAGCCGTATGTAGTGAGGGGGTTGTGCGGGTGTTATGAATTCCTGCCATCACTGCCCTGTGACAGCTGTGCCACAGACAGTAACTGAAGCAGATTAGCATGCAAGGTACCTTTAGCCTCCTCTGTGTGATTATAGTGTCTAGGCTATTCCAACCACAGTTAAAAGTGTAATCTCCTCAACTAGCAACCAGGGCCCCTGCCTATAATTAACCTAGATCAGGGTTCTTCAACCCTGTTCCTGGAGAGCTACCCAGTAATAGGTTTTCACTCCAACCCCAGTTGTGACTAACCTGATGCAGCTGATCAACCAGCTAATTATTAGAATTAGGTATGCTAGAATAGGGTTGGAGCGAAAACCTACAGGACGTAACTCTCCAGGAACAGGGTTGGAGAGCCCTGACCTAGATCATAATGTACGCAAACACACATACACATATGTGCACAATCGCGCACACACACACATGGGCAGGCAGCCATGCAGCCCTGTAGGATAGCAAACAAAGACCTAGTGGGCATATGCCTATGGTGACAACAAAACTGGGCCACAGTCACTGACTGTGTGGTCGGGACAAACAAAGTCCGTCCAGCGAGAGGTGATTAATTACAATATCTGGTCGGCATGGTGAGAGCCTGAGAGCTTTATGGTTCATTGCCTGGCCCCTGAAGGCTTGTAATTACAGCCAGTCCTACTGCTGCCTATCACCTAGCCCACAGTGCAACGGCATCCATTGATTCCTGCACTGTAATGTTCTTTATTTCTGCTTTCTAACTGATTGTTTAAAGTAACTCTCCTGAGAATAAAATAAATAAAACCGATCAGAGAGGGTAAAATCATCTATTCTGTCGCTTCATTCATAACTAATGGCCCAGTAGTAACTGTGCTCTAAATACCCTAGAAAACATGTATCATCTGAGCCTCTTACCATCATCCAGTGTGATCTCTTGGAGCCCCATGGAGCCGAGGGGCAGCTTCTCCTCTGGTTCCTGCTTGATGTTCACTTTCCCTTGGTCGTTTGAGAAGAGGAAATTGGGGGCTGGGGGACACTCCTGGGGGTCGATACTAGAGGCCAGGCCCTGGGCTCTGCTGGGGGACAGGTGCCTCAGGGGACCCCAAGAGGAGGCTGATGCTGACGGGGAGGTGGAGCAGGTTGCTTGTGCTCCAGGGGTGGGGGAATACGAGGCAGGCAAGTTTCTGGCAGAGTGATAGCTCAAATTATACTCAGCCTGTAAGGCTGCTAGGTCAGAGTCTGAGTGGGAGCAGTGGTAGCTTAGAGAGTGCAGCTGGGTTGTATTCTGGGTGTGGGTTCTTGCAGACTGGAGAGTGGCGCCAGAGAGATCAGGTCCAATGAGACTCTGGTACATCACACTTTCCCTATGAGGGCTGGAGGCAGCTGGTCTGGTCTGGGCAGACTGAGGTCGATTGACCTGGGGTGCGGCAGGGCCAGGTCTCATGGGAGAGCTGGCCTGGCCGCTGTAAGGCACATTGTGTTGTGTGGCCTGGTAGACAGGCCTTGTCCGAGGGGGTGGCATGGGGTCAGGTGTATGCATAAGGCTTATCCGCTGGTATCCCATAAGGGGGCTGTAGCTGTGGAGGTGAGGGGAGTGCTGAAGAGGCGCGGAGCCAGAGGGAGTGTATGCTGCCTGGGAGGATGGACCACAAGGCACTGGGTGGACACCAGAGGAACCATACAAGGGCCTGTCCTGAGAGAAGGCCCCATCAGGAGAAGTCAGCTGGCTGCTGGTTGGATACAGGCCAGGGGGATTGGTGCAGGTAGACAGATAGGCTGAGTCTCCGTGCTCCTGCTTCACCCGAGTAGCCACAACTGCACAGTCAATGGCAGTGGGATAATGGTGTGGAGAAGCACCAGCCAAGTATGTGAAGTTTTGTGTCTGGCTTCTTCTCCTCTTCCCGTTACACACGTAGAACTGCACCTGGACTGCAGAGCTCACAGTGGTGTTGTGGTAGGTAGGAATCTCAACCACGATTCTGGACTGCAAAGAGAATGTTTCAAAATGATTTATTATCTATTCAAGGGATCCACAGTTTCTGTGAAGTCCATTTCATGTAACTTTTAATAACGTAATGTACATTACTACTTACTCTTTTACTCTTTTCTCCAATAACTTTTCCGTCAACTTCCCATTGTGTGTGTCCATCTGGAGAGATAAAACATCACAATTAATAACACATTAATAAACCTCTGCTGAAGTTGGGCAGCGTCACCGTCTCTTACCAGGGCTTTTCTCCAGGAAGATGACCTTTGACTCTGGGGATATGTTGGAGCCAGTGATGACCATCTCCTCCCCCCCACTGACCAAGCACCTGACGGGACTGCAGCTCTCCATCTGGGGAAGATCTGTGGCCGAGCGCTGGGCTGCAAGCCAATTACATTTAACTATTAAATATACTGTACAGTAAAACAACATTATGTAGGCTTCTGTATAAAATAAATAAAAGGGGAAAACTCTGGCCCCTAGTTATAGCCTTACCTAATTATTATAGCCAATTACTTAATACAGGTTATATAAATAAAGACTATTCCTGGTCAAGTCCCATAATCAAGAAAAACTCAGTATCTTTGAATGTATGTACACTCCCGGTCAGAAGTTTTAGAACACCTAGTCATTCAAGAGTCTTTCTTTATTTTTACTATTTTCTACATTGTATAATAATAGTGAAGACATCAAAACTATGAAATAACACATATGGAATCATGTAGTAACCAAAAAAGTGTTAAACAAATCAAAATATATTTTATATTTGAGATTCTTCAAATAGCCACACTTTGCTTTGATGACAGCTTTGCACACTCTTGGCATTCTCTCAACCAGCTAGTGTACATACTATATACAGTGCCTTGCAAAAGTATTCATCCCCCTTGGCGTTTTTCCTATTTTGTTGCATTACAACCTGTAATTTAAATTGATTTTATTTGGATTTCATGTAATGGACATACACAAAATAGTCCAAATTGGTGAAGTGAAATGAAAAATATAACGGAAAAGTAGTGCGTGCATATGTATTCACCCCCTTTGCTATGAAGCCCCTAAATAAGATCTGGTGCAACCAATTACCTTCAAAAGTCACATAATTAGTTAAATAAAGTCCACCTGTGTGCAATCTAAGTGTCACATGATCTGTCACATGATCTCAGTATATATACACCTGTTCTGAAAGGCCCCAGAGTCTGCAACACCACTAAGCAAGGGGAACCACCAAGCAAGCGGCACCATGTGAAACTTTGAACATCCCACGGAGCACCATTAAATCCATTATTAACAAATTGAAAGAATATGGCACAACAAACCTGCCAACAGAGGGCTGCCCACCAAAACTCACGGAGCATGCAAGGAGTGCATTAATCAAAGAGACAACAAAGAGACCAAAGACAACCCTGAAGGAGCTGCAAAGCTCCACAGCGGAGATTGGAGTATCTGTCCATAGGACCACTTTAAGCCGTACACTCTACAGAGCTGGGCTTTACAGAAGAGTGGCCAGAAAAAAGCCATTGCTTAAAGAAAAAAATAAGAAAACACGTTTGGTGTTTGCCAAAAGGCATGTGGGAGACTCCCCAAACATATGGAAGAAGGTACTCTGGTCAGATGAGACTAAAATTGAGCTTTTTGGCCATCAAGGAAAACAATATGTCTGGCGCAAACTAAACACCTCTCATTACCCCGAGAACAACATCCCTACAGTGAAGCATGGTGGTGGCAGCATCATGCTGTGGGAATGTTTTTCATCGGCAGGTATTGGGAAACTGAAGGTATGATGGATGGCACTAAATACAGGGAAATTATATGAATAGTTATGCACGCTCAAGTTTTCTGTTTTTTTTGTCTTATTTCTTGTTTGTTTCAGAATAAAAAACATTTTGCATCTTCAAAGTGGTAGGCATGTTGTGTAAATCAAATGATACAAACCCCCCAAAAAATCAATTTAAATTCCAGGTTGTAAGGCAACAAAATAGGAAAAATGCCAAGGGGGGTGAATACTTTCGCAAGCCACTGTAGCAGGGATCATCAACTAGATTCAGTCGCAGGCCGATTTTTTCTTGAGTGGATGGTCACGGGGCCGGAACAATCACCTGCGGTCCAAATTTGGCCCGTGGGCCGCCAGTTGGGGAACCCTGCCATATACAGTATGTAGGCCTACTGAATAAAGATACTCACAGCACTCCACAGGAATAGAGGCAGCTTGCAGACACAGGACCTTGCCGCTGGGCTGAGGGATATACACACGGAATGCCACTCGCACACGTGTGTTCTTCCTCCCGATGTCTGTCTCCCCCTTCCTGAGCTCAATGTCAGAGTTCCTCAGCTTCAAGATGCCTGCGCAGTCAATACTGTAGAGGGGGATATACAAGCATGAGACAACATTATATAAAGGCCATATGAATATAAAAATGCCCATTTGAATAATGACAGTAAGCTAATAAAGTAGGCCCATAATGCTATAAATAGTTCACATTTTTCATGTGTAATTTTATGGTGTTTTGCAGTTTGTTGATTAGTCACAACATGTATCAGATAGTGTGAGAGAGATCTAGTCTCGAGACAAAACAATGCCTGGATTTTTCTATTATGGAAGGCAGCCACATTTCCATGACAACATAGCAAAGCTATGGTCTGTTTCAATCTTTTTTTCTAGATGTAGAAATATGCTTATTCTTCAGATGACAATCCGTTCCCATTTTTAACATGCTATGATCTGTTCTAAATCTTTAAAAATGAATAGAATTCACAGTGGAAGCCATTTTACATTTTAGATAATAAAACCAATAAATTACAAGCACAAATGTTATATTTTTAGCCTTTGAAAACATAAATCTTGCATGGTTATGACCAGTACCTTGTGGACATATTGTTTTCTGGGAGGAGAGGTATTTCCAGAACCTTTGTACTTCTTATTACACTTTCCTGGCAAGCAGTAGCCACCGTTTTCCCCGTTACTCTGTGCACCTGGTAGAAGGCATGTGGTCTCAAGTAGCGATCGTCTGCCGTTCCAATGAAAATCTGCAGGTTGACTGGCTTCTCATTGTATCCAATGAGCTGAAATTGAAACCAAGCCATAGAGATACTGATAAGCATACTATTGAAACACACTACCGCATTTGATTTACAATGCTATAAATACACTATGTTTTACTTCTTCTTATGAGCACTCTTTTTCTAATATCTGTTTTTAAGAAGACGTGATTATAATGTGATAATAATGACAACATGAACTGAGTACTGTATATTTGAATTCATTTGCATAACTGTGTTCATCATGTTTGGGTCTGTTTATAAACAGTATGCCAAAACAATACCAAAGCTCTGTACAGATAGCATTAGACTCAGAGAATGTATAAAATGCAACCTGAAGGCCATGCACTTTTTAGTTTACTTGTGTAGGGTTTGTAGCGTGCTTTCCCTACAGGAGTCCTGTAAGGAATATCCAGAATTGCCCGCAATGAAATGTCACAATTGAAACCAATTGAGGTCACCAAAAATTAGTTGTGCCCTAAAGGTGCCAGCATGAGGTTGAGGAATGTCGACCTGCCTCTGTGATGTAATGTATCGGGAAACACTGCTAATGGCATTACAGAGGACTAGAGAGTGAAGCTGTGTGGCTTTAACACTGGAGTAATGAAGCCATCCCCAAAATAAACCAGCTGGTGTCCATTACACAACAGCCAGGACTTGGTAAAGCTTTGTTTATATCAGCTTTCATCTGTTCTAGGCTGGCTGCACCCTGATCCACAGTAGTAGTCCAGTCTCACCACAGCCCACTGGCAAATACTGCTCTGCTAGACGTTAGGTGATACAGTCTCACTATAGCCCACTGGCAAATAGTGCTCTGCTAGATGTTAGGTGATACAGTCTCACTACAGTCCACTGGCAAATAGTGCTCTGCTATACGTTAGGTGATACAGTCTCACTACAGCACACTGGCAAATAGTGCTCTGCTATACGTTAGGTGATACAGTCTCACTACAGCCCACTGGCAAATAGTGCTCTGCTAGACGTTAGGTGATACAGTCTCACTATAGCCCACTGGCAAATAGTGCTCTGCTAGACGTTAGGTGATACAGTCTCACTACAGCACACTGGCAAAAAGTGCTTTGCTAGACATTAGGTGATACAGTCTCACTACAGCCCACTGGCAAAAAGTGCTCTAGTAGACGTTAGGTGATACAGTCTCACTACAGCTCACTGGCAAATAGTGCTCTGCTAGATGTTAGGTGATACAGTCTCACTACAGCCCACTGGCAAATAGTGCTCTGCTACACGTTAGGTGATACAGTCTCACCACAGCCCACTAGCAAAAAGTGATCTGCTAGATGTTAGGTGATACAGTCTCACTACAGCCCACTGGCAAATAGTGCTCTGCTAGACGTTAGGTGATACAGTCTCACTACACCCCACTGGCAAAAAGTGCTCTGCTAGATGTTAGGTGGTACAGTTTCACTACAGTACCACTGGCAAAAAGTGCTCTGCTAGATGTTAGGTGATACAGTCTCACTACAGTCCACTGGCAAATACTGCTCTGCTATACGTTAGGTGATACAGACTCATTACAGCCCACTGGCCAATAGTGCTCTGCTAGATGTTAGGTGACACAGTCTCATACAGCCCACTGGCAAATAGTGCTCTGCTACACGTTAGGTGATACAGTCTCACCACAGCCCACTGGCAAAAAGTGATCTGCTAGACGTTAGGTGATACAGTCTCACTACACCCCACTGGCAAAAAGTGCTCTGCTAGACGTTAAGTGATACAGTCTCACTACAGTCCACTGGCAAAAAGTGCTCTGTTAGACGTTAGGTGATACTGTCTCACTACAGGCCACTGGCAGAAAGTGCTCTGCTAGACGTTAGGTGGTACAGTTTCACTACAGTCCCACTGGCAAAAAGTGCTCTGCTAGACGTCAGGTGATACAGTCTCACTACAGCCCACTGGCAAATAGTACTCTGCTAGACGTCAGGTGATACAGTCTCACCACAGTCCACTGGCAAATAGTGCTCTGCTAGACGTTAGGTGATACAGTCTCACTACAGCACACTGGCAAATAGTGCTCTGATAGACATTAGGCGAAAAAGTCTCACTTCAGTCCAATGGCAAAAAGTACTCTGCAAGACGTTAGGTGATACAGTGTCACTGCAGGTACACTGGCAAATAGTGCACTGGTAGACGTTAGGTGATACAGTCTCACCACAGCCCACTGGCAAATAGTGCTCTGCTAGACGTTAGGTGACACAGTCTCATTACAGCCCACTGGCAAATAGTGCTCTGCTACACGTTAGGTGATACAGTCTCACCACAGTCCACTGGCAAATAGTGCTCTGCTAGACGTTAGGTGATACAGTCTCACTACAGTCCACTGGCAAATAGTGCTCTGCTAGACGTTAGGTGATACAGTCTCACCACAGCCCACTGGCAAATAGTGCTCTGCTAGACGTTAGGTGACACAGTCTCATTACAGCCCACTGGCAAATAGTGCTCTGCTACACGTTAGGTGATACAGTCTCACCACAGTCCACTGGCAAATAGTGCTCTGCTAGACGTTAGGTGATACAGTCTCACTACAGCCCACTGGCAAATAGTACTCTGCTAGACGTCAGGTGATACAGTCTCACCACAGTCCACTGGCAAATAGTGCTCTGCTAGACGTTAGGTGATACAGTCTCACTACAGCCCACTGGCAAATAGTACTCTGCTAGACGTCAGGTGATACAGTCTCACTACAGCCCACTGGCAAATAGTGCTCTGCTAGACGTTAGGTGATACAGTCTCACTACAGCACACTGGCAAATAGTGCTCTGATAGACATTAGGCGAAAAAGTCTCACTTCAGTCCAATGGCAAAAAGTACTCTGCAAGACGTTAGGTGATACAGTGTCACTGCAGGTACACTGGCAAATAGTGCACTGGTAGACGTTAGGTGATACAGTCTCACCACAGCCCACTGGCAAATACTGCTCTGCTATACGTTAGGTGATACAGTCTCACTGCAGCACACTGGCAAAAACTGCTCTGATAAACGTTAGGTGATACAGTCTCACTGCAGGCCCATTGGCAAATAGTGCTCTGCTAGAAGTTAGGTGATACAGTCTCACTACAGCCCACTGGCAAATAGTGCTCTACTAGACGTTAGTTGATTCAGTCCCATTAAGCCCACTGGCAAATAGTGCTCTGCTAGACGTTAGGTGATACAGTCTCACTTCAGATCACTGGCAAATAGTGCTCTGATAGACGTTAGGTGATACAGTCTCAATGCAGGCCACTGGCAAATAGTGCTCTGATAGACGTTAGGTGATACAGTCTCAATGCAGGCCACTGGCAAATACTGCTTTGCTATACGTTAGGTGATACAGTCTCACTACAGCACACTGGCAAAAACTGATCTGATAAACGTTAGGTGATACAGTCTCACTGCAGGCCCACTGGCAAATAGTGCTCTGCTAGAAGTTAGGTGATACAGTCTCACTTCAGATCACTGGCAAATAGTGCTCTGCTAGACTTTAGGTGATACAGTTTCAATGCAGTCCACTGGCAAATAGTGCTCTGCTAGACGTTAGGTGATACAGTCTCAATGCAGGCCACTGGCAAAAAGTGCTCTAATAGACGTTAGGTGATACAGTCTCAATGCAGGCCACTGGCAAATACTGCTCTGCTATACGTTAGGTGATACACTCTCACTACAGCACACTGGCAAAAACTGCTAAGATAAACGTTAGGTGATACAGTCTCACTGCAGGCCCACTGGCAAATAGTGCTCTGCTAGAAGTTAGGTGATACAGTCTCACTACAGCCCACTGGCAAATAGTGCCCTGCTAGACGTTAGGTGATACAGTCTCACTTCAGATCACTGGCAAATAGTGCTCTGCTAGACTTTAGGTGATACAGTTTCAATGCAGTCCACTGGCAAATAGTGCTCTGCTAGACGTTAGGTGATACAGTCTCAATGCAGGCCACTGGCAAATAGTGCTCTGCTAGACGTTAGGTGATGAGGTCTCACTACAGCACACTGGCAAATAGTGCTCTGATAAACGTTAGGTGATACAGTCTCACTGCAGGCCCATTGGCAAATAGTGCTCTGGTAGACGTTAGGTGATACTGTCTCACTTCAGCCCACTGGCAAATACTGGTCTGCTATACGTTAGGTGATACAGTCTCACCACAGCCCACTGGCAAAAAGTGATCTGCTAGACGTTAGGTGATACAGTCTCACTACAGCCCACTGGCAAAAAGTGATCTGCTAGACGTTAGGTGATACAGTCTCACTACAGTTCACTGGCAAAAAGTGCTCTGCTAGACGTTAGGTGATACAGTCTCACTACAGCCAACTGGCAAATAGTTCTCTGCTAAACGTTAGGTGATAAGGTCTCACTTCAGATCACAGGCAAATAGTGCTCTGCTAGACGTTAGGTGATACAGTCTCACTTCAGATCACTGGCAAATAGTGCTCTGCTAGACTTTAGGTGATACAGTCTCACTGCAGCCCACTGGCAAATACTGCTCTGCTATACGTTAGGTGATACAGTCTCACTACAGCACACTGGCAAAAACTGCTCTGATAAACGTTAGGTGATACAGTCTCACTTCAGATCACTGGCAAATAGTGCTCTGCTAGACTTTAGGTGATACAGTCTCACTGCAGCCCACTGGCAAATACTGCTCTGCTATACGTTAGGTGATACAGTCTCACTACAGCACACTGGCAAATAGTGCTCTGCTAGACGTTAGGTGATACAGTCCCATTACAGCTCACTGGCAAATAGTACTCTGCTAAACATTAGGTGATAAGGTCTCACTTCAGCTCAGCCCACTGGCAAAAAGTGCTCTGCTAGACGTTAGGTGATACAGTCTCACTACAGCCCACTGGCAAATAGTGCTCTGCTAGACGTTAGGTGACACAGTCACAATAGAGCCCATTGGCAAATAGTGCTCTGCTACACGTTAGGTGATACGGTCTCACCACATTCCACTGGCAAAAAGTGATCTGCTAGACGTTAGGTGATACAGTATCACTAAACCCCACTGGCAAAAAGTGCTCTGCTAGACGTTAAGTGATACAGTCTCACTACA